ATGTCAGGACTGCGCTACCCTAGCTATACGCCGCTATGTTATCCCATGGCTGGCTTAGTATGTCAAGAAAGATCCAGCTGATGGTGTTGCCCGAGGCGTCTAGGAATAGGAAAGCACTAAGGAAGTGCCAGAGCCACACTCTAGCGAACCTGTCGATCTGAGCCTCATCAGCCTGTGGGTCCAAGTAATCAAAGCGCTTTGTGATCCACGACGACGAAATATTGGAACTTTTCCTAAAATTCACCAAAGAAAATAAGACCCGATGGCTGCAGGAAAGCAATGCAAGTATTAAATAGGCTTAAATTGCTCACTTATTTTTCTTGGAAACGTCGTTGTCCGGTGAAAGAAAGCCAGTGAACTAAGCCACCAGCTCCCTCTAGTGATCGTTGTCAACTATACCTGTCACTGGAAGTCCCCCCAACCGAAGGCCAAAGATAGCCTTCACGTCCTGCATGGTCAAGGTCATCTCGCCGCAAGGTAGGTGGAACGTGTGGGTCTCAGGCCTCCACCTGTTATGAGAATAGAACGACTGTTAGTTACCTCAAATTTATTATAAGAATGTTTATGTACAATGAAGGCTCGCACCTGTCTATAGCTACAGTAAGTAGTGCTGGGTCAAGGGACGAAAGACCGTAGTTGTCAACACGGACAAGCTCGAGGAAGCCGACACGCCATATGTACGCGCACATAACGCTCGTCCCACTAGTGCGCCCTGGTGTGCGTGCGGGGCCTCAAAGGAGGCAAGGGCACCTCTACGTCGGTGTCAGTCAAGAAGTGTGCTCGGTGCGGCTCGTCGTACTCCACTTCAAGAAGGAGGTACAACTGGTGCTGCGTGGGAGGGGCCATCCTGTTACAAATTGATAAACAAAGGGTTAGAGTATTCAAATTAACAATATTCAAATTAACATTATGTAGCATTGCAAAATTTGAACTACTTGTTATGCAATAGGAACATAATATGAAAGCACATGTATATATTCAAAGTAATATTAACAGACATATTAAATAGCTTCACTAGAAAAATAAGCAACTTCTATGTATGGACATGTTGCCCTCGTCTTCTATGCCTGCTAGCCTTGTGACCAGGTTCTTTGCAAACGGAGCAAAGATTCCTGCCACGGGTCTCGTTGAAGTCTCCCCTTCCGTACATGTCTTCGCTTCGCTGTACCCTCTCATAGCGTAACCTAAACCCAAAGTCCTAACTAACAGTAACCTAAACCCTACCTACCTAACCAAACCTTAACTATACTGCAACACACAACCTAAACCCTAAAAACTACCTACCAAAAAAACAAATTCACTAACCTAACTATACTAAATCACTAACCCTAACTATCCTAAATCACTAACCCTAACTAAAATAACATTCATAATAACAAGAAATTAAGAGACGGAGCTACCTTGATATGAGCGGGGACCTTTTCGGGTCACCAAAGTCGAGGAGATGGCCGCTAGCGGCCTCGTCGGCCGGCAGCGCTAGCGAGGCAGCGGCGCACGTGAGGCGGCGGCGTAGGCGCTGGCGCCTCAACATTGGCGATGCGGCGACGGCTGGCGCAGGCGAGGCGGTGGCGCTGGTAGGCGGCGGCGGCGCTGTCGGTCGACGGCGGCGACGCCTAGCGGTCGGCTGCTAGACGGTGGCAGCGACCCCTGGCGGCAGCGGTGCTGGGCAGAACCAATGGTGGTGGCGCAAGCGGCGGCGGCGTGCGCTGGGGTCGAGGGCGAGGGCAGGCGCAGTGCTGGCATCGCGGGCTTTTACTGGGCCTTATCGTGCCACTAGCGCTGGCGCATCACAGCCACGCCAAGATGGGTGGCGCGGCAGACCCTTCCATGACAACGCCACGTCATCTTCCCGCCATGCCACCATGCATGGCGCGCCACAGGCGTTTCGCTGCGCCATGGCAATAGGCGCGGCCAAAAGTGTTAGTTTTGGAAAAAAAAATGGTGTTAGATTTAAAATTAGTTTACAAAAAGTGTTAAAAATAAAAAATATTCGCAGCGGATGAGAGAATATACAGCGGGCAGCGGCAGTCGGCGCCGGCCCCTGGCGTTGGCGTGATCCTCTTGGCTTGGCTTGTTGATGCGGTAGCGGTAGTCGTATATTTGTTCCACGCACGCACGTGATGTTGTTCCAGGCTCTGGCACTCGTGGCTTGATGTATAAATGTCCATGCAGCCCGAGGCATGACAGCACGGCAGGAAGCCCGCTTTTTTAGCCCGACACGAGCATGGCCCGGCCCGAGGGAGCAGGCCGTGCCTAGGCCGCTGCTCAGGCCCGTGGGCCGGCACAGCACGGCCTGGCCTGCGTCGGTTGGCCCGACAGCGGCCTGACCTCCCCCCTCCCACTCCTCACTCCTCCCCTTCCCAAGGCCCAACGCGGCCCACGCGCTCCCCACTGTCCCCGGCCCGCCTCCCCCCCATATATAAGCGGGCACGCCCATGGCGGCTCTCCCACACGCCTCACCCCGAACCCTAGCGCCAGCGCCGCGGACTCCCCCTCCCCTTCCCTCGCGTCGGATGAGGCGAGAGCGGACATGGGACTGGGAGTCCATGATGCCTCCTCCCTCTCCTCGGCGTCCTCGGCTCCTCGCGTGACCTCTCCTCTCCTCACAGCGCCGGCGGTCGAGCATGGACATCGACGCCCCCAGCCCCTCCCTCTCCTCGAGCGATGCCACTGCGCGAGCGAGCGCGTCGGCCCTGAGCTCTGCCCCGACGCCGATTCGATGCCAAGACAAGCTCACCGGCGGGCGGCGGCCACTGCCATCTCCGACCTCACGCTGCCTCCTTCCTTGATCCCGCCTCCACCAGATTTGTGACGCCCGTCGTCCTCCTTACCATCCCTCGCCTCCGCGGCAATGCTGGATCTCCGCCATGGATCTAGCCATGCTGGGTCCTCTCCACCGCGGATCCAGCTCCCCACCCTTGCCTCAACGCTGGCGCGGCGCCTCCTCCCTGTCCCTCCCTCGCCTCCGCGGCGGCGCTAGATCTCCGCCGTGGATCTAGCCAGCTGGGTCTTCTCCACCGCGGATCCGGCTCCCCACCCTTGCCTCGACGCTGGCGCGGCTCCTCCTCCCCGTCCCTGCCTCCCTTCCTCCCTCACTCTCCCTCGGTGGCGCGCGGCTAGGAGCGCGCGGGCGGGTAGATCCGGCGACTCCCTCCCTTCCTTGTTTTCTCTCCTCTCCATCTCACTCACCCCCTCTTCATCTCCTCCTCTCCAGCACTTGAGGAAGGGCGCCGCCTGCGCAGGTCCTGCCCCCTGAGATCCAGAGCTCCGCCGCTCCCAGCCCCGGTGGCCACCTCCTCCTCACCTCCCGACGCGGCCGCTCAGTGGGCCTCGGGTTGGCACGGCCTGTGAAAATGGTTGTGCTTCTCGGGCCGGCCCGGTATGAAAATCGGCCCATAGGGCCATGCCTGGGCCGAAGGCTAGGCCCGTGGCCCTGTGAGGCATGGCCCGGGAGGCACGACATGCCATGCCGGCCCGTTGGCTACCGGGCTGTGCCGTGCTAGGCCGGGCCAGCCCGTTGGCCATCTTTGGCTTGATGAGGTCAAAGAGAAGAAAAGTACTTGAGCATGGTGGATACAGTATAGGTTGACGAGTGTTGTTGGATCCATGAGACTGGACACCTGACTGTAGATTAGGGGCGGTATGCACTTGAGCACGGTGGATACAGTATCCATCCATTTTTTCCCCTCTGGTTGGGTCCCTGGCTCCCCGCGCTCCAGCCATCCAGTGTTTGACGTCGAAGATCACAATTCACAAATCACATGGTGAGGAGGCGCTGCGAGAAACTTATGTATAGTGTTTTGGTTTTAGGGATAGTTTGACACAGAAGAGGATGGTTCTATTTTTTCATGGTGTTTAGTAAAAAGACAAAGGGACGGAATCACCTTACTCTATCCTTCTGAAAGAGGCAGATGAGCTCATCCTCAGGTCACACCATGCGTTTCTCGTCTCCTCTCATCCTCGCGTGGTTGGGCACGGTTCAGGCGGACGGGTTGATTAAGGACTCCATTAGTGTATAGGAAGAAGCAAGTGTGCATCCACCTTTCTCATTGGGCTTGTTTGTGCCAAGTGAGAGGTTTGCTTGTTATTCTTGGTGATCGGCATCACCTAGACGGTTTGGTGGCAATTGGGAGCTTGGTGATCTCTCGATGGTGCTGGTAAGAGGTCCAACTCATGGTGTAAACGGTTTGTGGGTGATCACCGTGCCGGACTGGCGAAGAATCAACTCGCAGAGAGCACTTGGTCCTTGCGTGGATCAAGAGGAAGTGATACCCTTGCACATGCGCTCCAACGAGGACTAGAGCGGAGTGTTGACTCTTCGATATCTTAGAAAAACATCGTCATGTTCTTTTTTTCTCTTTACATTATGCATTTACATTTGTGCAATTACTTTGATGTCTTTACATTCTTAGAATTGCCATACTAGTGTAGGATTGGAACTAGATTGCGAAACTTTGTGCGTAGACTAAAAAAACACAATCTAGGCACAATGGATGAAATGAGCTAAGTAATAGGTTTATTTTCGCCTTGTGCATCTTGATCCTTTCAAAATGTACTCGGACTTGATGTCTTATCTTAGATCCAATCGATCTGCACTGACTCAAGTGCAAAGGTGAGAGTTTTCCATTTCCACTCGTCCACCTTTCAGTTTGACTAAATCCATGTGGATTTAGGCTAGTCGTCCAATAAGAACAAGGGAACTCACGTCCTCAGTTGATTCATGCATTAAGATTGAAATCCTAGAATTAAGACTGAGTTTGAAGGAATACGAGTATACACACAACTATAATAATCTTTTGCATTGGTACATATTTGCTCTTATATTTGAGCGAGGAGACAAGGAACTCGAGTTATATATGTTGGACGATGGGAGTATATATATTGTCTTAATAATAATGATATATGTTTCTTTTGGACTCGAGGGGCGCACGAAAGTGTGACACACGACCACAAGTGACCCATGAACATGAAATAAAATACATGTGTTTTAGGGAAGTATATCACTCTTTTTCACTATAATAGAAGAATGCATAGAAGCCTCCTCCAATAGTGGAGAAGGCCATGAACCAAACTACCATGACCACTACGGTGGGCATGACGGTTGCAACCTTAGTCGTAAATAGTAGGGTAAGCGCTGTCGTGAGCACCCAGATAACTACTTTGAGACGGTCCCTTGTTAACGAGCCGGGCTCGGCGCTCTCGTACCATCTGAGACTGAAGAAGAGTAGGAGCAAGTCCAGGTAGGAGAAGACGACGAACGCAACGGCCCAACGTTCACCTTGGGACCGGTAGATGGCCATTCCAGAGTTGAATGTGAGGAATAAACATCCAAGGATAGTGAGCCACAGGATGTTCCCGCGATGACGATGCTCGGCTGCACCAGGAGGACCCAAACCGCCATCAGCAACAGGTTGCCCCAAATGCATTTGTTGTGGTCGCAGCAAGGGCCTCGTCCCAGGATCAGCAGCCTCGTTGTCCTGCTGAGCTTGGTGATTGTCCATCGACCACCAATCGTCACGAGTTATGTTCGTGATGGCTTGGTGATAGGAACCACTCTCAAGGAAGATCTGACTTTCCCTGACGATTAGCTGATAGGAAGCAATTCTTGACAGCGCTTCAGTTTGAGCATTCAGCCGTGGGTCCTGATGGTCGACGTATTTCCTGTCGGTTTCGCAACCAGTTCCTGTCGGCTTTAGCACAAAGCCGACAGGAAATATGTCGACCGTCAGGGATTTTTTTGTTTGGGTGTGGCACGAACCAGCAAGCATGCGATGGCCGGCATCGCGCGCGTTTTTGAAGTTCCAGTAATCTCCCTCGTTCCCTTTTATAGGCCAGGCTATAGCTCCCGGCGGCAAATAGAGTGTGAAAGGTGCGTGTTCGTGCCCACGGAGTCTACGGCTGCAGCTTCATCGAAATAGCATACGAAGTTTCGGCGAATAAGCTCCTGGATTCACGGCTGCTAGCGTACAAAAAAAAAATGAAGTTTCCTCGAAATAGCATATGAAGTTTCCTGGAAGCTTCCTGATGATGGTTGCTTGTTCGAAATGTTTCCGCCTGAAGTTTCTATTGGCTGCTAGCTTGTTGGAAATGGCATGTGAAGTTCCCGGCCCATGCATGAAGTTTCCTCGAAATAGCGTAGGAAGCTTCTTGCTAGCGTGACTGTGTCGGCTTTGTCTTGAAAACAACTTTTATAGCGGTCACAGCTAGAGTTGTTGCTCTCTCATTTTTTAGATATGTATTTTTTAGATTAGAGACTCACAGCAAGAGTTTTTAGCCATTTGTCGGTACTATAGCGGAACACACAGTCAGCATATATAGGATTTTTGTCGCCAAAACACACACACTATATATTATGCATAGTGTAAAGTACTATTCGCTCGAGCTTATTCAGCACTACTTTTCAGTCATGGAACAGTGCTTTGCCTCCGCGTTGATGTAACCTACCGTGTGAGGGCAATCGCCTTGTTCGGGTTCGGGGTACCGGGTACCTCCTCGCATTTGCAGCCATTGGTGGCCTCCGACGATCGCATTTGCAGCCATTGGTAGCCTCCGACGAGTCATCCAAGTGTTTGGTATACACCCTGTTCGCTTGGCTTATAAGCCGTATTTTTTCAGCCAACGGACAATATTTTTCTCTCATAACAAATCAGCCAACAATACTTTCAGCTATGACTTATCAGGCAAACGAACAGGGCAATAGCTTTTGGTCCAGTTTTACAAAATTGTTTTTCAACTTCTACTAAACCGATTCTAATGAAACATCTTTCTAAAAGCTACTGTATTTTTCAGCTTCTCTCGCTAGCACAATTTTCTAGGTAAAACTGAAAATACTAGATTCTCCGAGCGCGCGCTCTCTGTCTGCTATTTTTCTAGAGAACCTGTTTCCAAACCTTTTTCTAAAATAGCTTTAGCTTTTTATTGGTGAAAAACTGCTACCGAATGGGGAAAAAAAGAAAAAAAACTTTCACTAGTAAAGCTGAATTATACCAGACAATCCCGCTACTGATTGGGCCTGTTCGCTTGTCTGAATTTTGGAGGAGTCTGGATGGTTTGGAGGAATACTGGAGGAATTTGTGAGAGAAAAACACTGTTCCGGATGACAAAATAAGCAGATCAAGCCGGGTTTAAGGAATTTGTGACATAACGTCGCATCTACAGCGCTACAAAAACTCAATAGGCCGGGTCATCGTGAGATCTCTTTGTTGTATTCTTTTTTTTCTTTTCTGCCTTCTTTTTTACATAATATTGTTATTGTTCTTCAGTAGATTAACGAGCTGTTCAGCTGATGGTTTTTACGACTGATAAGTCGGTTGATGATGTTTTGTTGTGAGAGAAAAACACTATACTATGGTTGATAAATCGGGCTAAGTTCAGGCGAACATGATGTAAATGGGCTATGTAAACATAGTACGCATCCCACAGGGAACGGGTCCAAACCCACGCACCGTTTAGGCTCCGTTCGTTTCGCTGAAAAAACTAGCCGAAACACTGTTCCGCCTAATTTGTTGTAGGAGAAAAACACTGTTTCAACTGAAAAAAACAAGCTGAAAAGTATGGAGTATAAGATAAGCGAACGTGGCCTTACCATTCATGCACTTGGCCAGCGGTGCGGAATTAGCAATAGGTTAATTTGGCTTCAGAGGCGCGTGCCCTAAATTGCGTTTCTCCCGTTTACATGTTTTGTCAGAGATGTCATATATCCTAGCCTCGACCTAAAGTTTATCAGCAGGGAAGTCATGAGCCACAAAAGCCCACAACTGATGGATGAGCAGCAAATAAATAGCTAGTGCAATCAGACTAGCTAACTACGCATTGCTCTGAATGCTCCCGCGTTTTGCAGACTCCGGGAGAGGGGTGCCCCTCGGGTTTTATAGGCGTCGGTGCACCCAAGGCGAACCAATCAAACCCCATGGATGCGAGTTGCGAGATTGCGTGCCTGCGTTCCGCTCCCGACAGGGACAGGGGCAACTTCTCCGAAGGTGCCTGCGCTGCAGGTCCTCTACTGCGCTAGCCCATCTCGTCATGTTGTCAATCATTCAATTGCCATGACGTTCTAGGCTTTTGCCGGAAGCAACGCCGGTGACGCGCGCGCCACGAGCCCACAAGCCCCGTAATTTTTTTTTGTTTTTTAATAATGTACAGTGTTGAGCAGGTCAAACCTAGCCAGCACAATTTTTAATTAGATTAAACTAGGAAATAAAACTGTAGATTGTAATGGGGAAAATCCTCGCACGTCTCAACCACTCCAACTAAAGGTTCCAATGAGAAAATCCTTGCAATAGGGAAAAGTTGGTTTAGCATCGAACTAGTAGTGATGTAGAGTGGCATTAGTTGTTGGGTCGTTGTACCGAAGCTATGTGTGATGGGTGACATATTTTTCCTACTTATGTTGTTTTTGGACCCTGTTTCTACTTAAAAAAATAGGACTGGTTCTTGTCCTTTTATTTTTTGTTCAATAATGTTTTTATCATCCTTTTGAGAAAAATATTCTCCAATTAAGATTTTCTCATTAATTCGAATTTGATTTGGGCCCAAACCTTCAAATTAAAGGATACAGCTTAGTTCTTCACGGGCCAAGTGGACTTTGGAATGGGCAGAATTAGCATGGCCTGATTTATCCTCCGTGTACACCGCATGGGCTAGAGAGTTGAGACCCATAATTTGGTGGGTTTAGGACGTAATTCTACACTAGCTGGTGGCCTATGACGGGTACACAGTTATCTAGAAAAGTAGTTGGATTCCCCACGCATTGCTGTGGGAATTTGAGTTTATAATTTAGGTGGCCATTTCATGTTATAATTTAGACGGGCTATTTAGAGTTGCATGGAGAAAAGATGTGAATGATATATTCCTAATGATATATGAAGTTAACAATTTAATTTGTGCTTGGCAGGTGAGTAAATTCATCCTAATGGGCGTATGTATAATGTGTAAGTAAGCTTTGAATACAAATGGCTTCATCACTAGAAAAAGGGAGAAAGATAAGTACAGAGCGTGTTTAGTTCCCTGAATTTGGGAATTTGGGATACTGTAGCACGTTCGTTTTTATTTGACAAATAGTGTTCAATCATGGACTAATTAGGCTCAAAACGTTCGTCTCGCAATTTCCAACCAAACTGTGCAATTAGTTTTTTTTTTGTCTACATTTAATGCTCCATGCACGTATCGCAAGATTTGATGTGATGGGTACTGTAGCATTTTTTTGGATTTTGGGGTAGCAACTAAACACACGCACAATATAGTAGTAGTACTGACTGCAACGTTTTCCTGCTACCACAGCTAAAGAAAGCGGCGACCTGAGCGGGACCGGCAGCCGCAATAGTAAATAATGAATGGTGTACATTATAAGTATAATATTATTGACCTTTCTCGTACTTGTCTTTTCAGTTATGAAATATTATTTTTCTTTCATAATATTTCAGCATAAGCGTCGGTATAAACCAAATTTCAACATAAACGAACAGGTTCGACCAAAGTCTATGACTTGAGCTTTGCTCCATCGGCCGTGGCACCGCACTCCGTTGCGTCAGCCATGCTCTCTCCGCTGTCGCGCATCCTCCCACGCATCAATGGTTGGACCTTCACGCCAGCCACCGACCCACCGTGAGGCCATGCTGTTCGTCATCCATGCCGGAAGCGCGATGATAGGCTTCTGCTCACCCGACGGTGGCGGCGAGCTCGATCCGCCACGCCTCCTGTACCGTGCGGCGGCGCGATGCCAGGGAATTCGCCACTATGATTGACTTGAAAGAAAAAAGAAATATGATTGACATTGAACAAAAATAAACAGTAGATTTCGGGTCATGATGGCATAACCATTTTTTTTGGTACCTACAACTACAAGCCTACTACAACCTCGTGCCAAAAAAAAACACACTAACCATGCATGGAAGATGCAATTCACAAACTCAAGCAGCGATGGACCGAACACCAGATAATAACTTTACTTTGTCGCACGGCCGGGGAAGATCCATGATGGGAGGCACATGGGTACCTTTACCTCTACTTTGGAAGGAAAGGGAGCATGACCCGGGGAAGAAAAGCCCCCCAGGGGATTTTTAATGTCATTTCATTTCCCTGGGTACCTTGCTCACCGGTGGGTTTTTTCCCTGTCGCTATTTGGGCCTTGTTTAGATGCCATCCAAATTCTAAGTTTTTTCACTCTCTCTCCATCACATCAATTTTTAGTCGCTTGCATGGAGTATTAAATGTAGGTACAAAATAACTAATTACACAGTTTAGTTGGAAATCACGAGATGAATCTTTTGAGCCTAGTTGGTCCACGATTTGACAATATTTGCCAAATAAAACGAAAGTGGTACTATTCATCGGGTTCAAAAAATTTGCAAAGTGAATAAGGCCTTGGAAACTAGGGTCAGAATTCACGGGCAACAAAAATGGTGTTAAAAATCAGAAAAAAAATCAAGTAGACTTTGGCCTTTCTTCTTGCTCCTAAAGAGGCACCAGATCGAAAGGAGTTGCCGCAAGAATGCATTCAACGCAAGCGCCCACCGAGATCCACGCCACGCACGCATGGAGAGCCCAAAGTCGGAGTCTGGCGGCGGCGAGGCCGAGGCCAACATCGGCCGCGACGCGGAGCTTGGCACGGTCGAGGCACCGCGTGGGTGGCATCTCGCGCGACTTCGAGGGTGGAGACCCGTGGATGGCGTTCTACGGAGGATGGCGTCGCCACGCCGGCCATGGGGAGCGACGTTGGAGATGGAGAGCGTCATGGAGGCCGGCATTGCCCTGTCGATCGATCGACGCGGGAGCGACTTCGCGATCGGGCGCCGTGGTGAAAGGCGCGTTCGTGAGCTCCAGCACAGTCGGCGTGGGGTCGGGGAGTTGGAGAAGGAGTTGGACGGTGGCAGGGCCGTCCCGTTGGCCAGTGCACTAGGTGAGGAAGCTGACGGCTGTGGAGATGGATATGTTGGTGGTATCGTGAGTCGAGGCCTCGAGGGGCAGCTGGGACGGGGAAGCGCTCCCGGCCTCTGTCCTTGTGGAATTCTGCCGCGTGGAAAACACGGGGAAGGCAGGTGAAATTCCGCGTCATCGGAGCTTCCAAACGGTGCGGAAGATTGGCATGGGAGATACCGCCCCGTAGGTTTCTCGCCTTGGGAAATCACGGGGAACTCGGCGGGAAATCGCGCTGCCAAAGTAGCCCTTAGCGGTAATGCTACTTATCAGACACCGAGGGGTTGGTCGATCCGTCAGACTCAGCTCCTCTACTCATTGGCTTGCTATTAAAAAAATTTCTCCACTCTGCTTATCCTCCACTCATCCGCTGGCTCGCTCGCCTCTCGCCCCTACCATCGCGTGCGTCGCCCGCTCCCTCCATGGCTGGCTCTTTCTCTCCTTATGTAGCATATATATGTTTCAAGTGTTTCAGATGCATGTTGTATTTATTTAATATATATGTTGCAAAAGTAGATCGAGAGACGTTGCATATGTTGCAATTGTTTCAAAGGTATGTTGCAAGCGTATGTTTTGAGCGTTTCAGATGTTTTA